TTTAAGTGCCTGCTTAAGCAAAGCAGGCTCAGGATTCTGTGGCTGGATCCCCACATCCTCGTGCCTTACCAGACCTGCCCTTAAGGCATCCTGAGGCAGCCAAAAAAAAAAAAAAAATCCTTCTGATCCCCTTGCCTTAGCCTCCTGCTGGGATTAGAGACATGCACCACCACATTCAGCTCTAAAAGACTTTATGTTCAACTTAATCCCCATTAGGAGATACTAGGAGCACGGAAACTTAAGAGATGAAATCTTTAGGACATGATTAGGATTAAAGTCATGGCACTGAATACTGGAGGCTTTCTAAGAAGAGACAGACACCAGAAAGACAGACAAACACACACATACCCTCCTCATTTCATGCCACATGATGCTCTGTACCACCTTGGGACTGACAGCAAGAAGGCCGTCATCAGACAGTCCTCCTCCTTCTACCTCAAGACACATGAGCCAAAATAAACCTTTTTCTTTTAAAAGAAAACTACTTTATAGTATCTCTCTATAGCCAGACAAAAAGACAAACACAGAATCTAAAATTCACTCCCCTCACAGCCAAGCACAGAACATCAGCTGCTAAGAACAGAGGCACTAACTCAGTGGGTGAAAAGCAACATGGTCAATACACAGCACAAGGGCCAGAGATATAGCTCAGTGGACTAATCGCTTGCTTAGGTAAGCACAGGGCCAAGGTTCGATCCCTGGCTCTGCATGAGCCAGTGATGGAGTCCGAACGTGGTGGCAGGCACCTGTAATCCCAGCACTAGGGAGGCAGAAACCAGGAGGATCACTACGAGTCTGGGCTGTGTACTGAGACCTTGCACAAAAAAAAAAAAAAAAAAAAAAAAAAAAAACAGCAGACAACACCAATGTTGAGACACTCTCTTCTGACTTGACACACACCATGCAAAAGCAGGGTCCTGAGCCTATGGCTCAGAGTGGACTTTGCCCATTCACTGCCATATAGAAGAATCCTGATAGCTCAGAGGGTGTTTCGCCTTGTCAACATAATGCACATGTGACTTCCCATGCCTGCCCCATCTGACTTTCAGCTGTCATCAAATACAAGCACCTCCCAAGACAATCACTACTGTGACACGCACCCTGGCCTTGTTATACCAGCTTAACTAAAACAAGTAAAATAAGCACACTCCCTGAACACCAAGTGCCAACTTACATGTGTGTCCACCTCGGCCTGCGGTGTGTCTTTGCTACAGATGATGCTCTGGAACCTCTGCAGCAGAGGAAGCAGGGGGGCACTGGTGCCCTGGGCAGAGCGTTCATTGTCCGTTTCCTGAGCCCCACTGTCCCACAGTTGAAGCAACAACAGGATGGCAGACAACATTTGGCTAAAGGAGAAAACATATTTATTCTCTAATAAACACAGATTAACTTTTTTGCTATGGTCAGTAAAAAATAGAAAGACAGCTAAGTAAAAGTAAAATAACATGGGGCCGGGGAGATGGCTCAGTAGAATAAGCGCTTCCCTGGCAAGCACAAGGGCCTGAGTTCAATCCTTGGTTCCGGAAAAAAAAAAAAAAAAAAAAAAAGTAAAATAACATTAAAATAATGAATGCCATGGAGACAATAACCCCAATCAATACTAAGATTTTATCACTAGACACCCACCCTGTGCTGACAGGAAGCACAGAACCAGTTAAGACATTCAAGTAATACTTTTTACAGGACATTTCTGGTATCTTAAATCAATGGAATAAAATAAGAGGGAGAAAAAAAATAGAACAAGTCCTAAATATTTAAACAAATAAGCACAAAAAAGAAAAAAAAAAAAAAAAAAGCGTAACTCAACCTGGCTTTAGAAGAAAGCTGGGACATGGTTCCCTGACAGAAGACCACACATTTGCTGCAGCCAAGAGTGCTTCTGCGAAATTCCTCACCGTGCACACGGGCATCTCTGGGAGCTGTAGGGGCCACTCACCTCAGTGTGCCTCTCTGCACAGCCAGTTCCAGCAGGATGGCCAGGGCCAAGTGCTGGTCCTGCAGAGGGACTCCTCCGGGACCTTTGGTGCCTGGTGTCCCGTGAACATCCCTACAGTGGCAGCAATGGGGACAAGCCATCAGTATTACTGACAGCAGCACACTAAAATCACTAATATTTTTAAAACATTAATTATGCTCTCTCTTCCAGGGAAAGACATATTAATATTCAGAATCAGCTTTCTGAGATTTTTTTTTTTTTTTTGTGGAACAGGGATTGAACTCAGGCCCGTGCACATTCTTCTGAGCTATCTCCCTGGCCCCTGGTTTCTGAGAGTTGCTATATAAATTTACTCTGAAATCTTAAAATGTGCAATCAATTTAGAAAGGTATGGTTGTTTTGTTGGGGGGAAGTTATAGGAAATCCTAGGACTGAACCCACGGTCTCCTTCCTGCATGATGAGCAAGTTTTACCACTCAGCTACACCCAAGCCCCTAAAGATATATTTTTATTAAAAATATTAATGAAGCACAGGGTTCTGAGTTCAATCCCGGTACCATGAAAAAAAAGAGAGAGAGAAAAAAAAAAAGAAAAAGAAAGAGAGAAAAAGAAAGGTATGAATGGAGACACTATATTATACAAGAAAACACAACCCAAATTTTTTTTTTTTTTTTAATGTATTTAGTACAGGGTCTAAAGGGTCTACAGGGTCTTACTATGTAGATTGGACTCCTAATGATTCTCCTGTTTTCAGCCTCCCAAGCACTGGGTTTGCAGGCGTGTGCCACTGTGCCCAGTCTCAATCAATGTCTCAGCGCACGCTGGGGGTGGAGCCAGCACAGCACACCTGGGATTGAACCCGGGCCTCTGTGCTCTGCCTAAGTAGGCACTTTAGTCCGCTGAGCTATCTGGCCAGCCCTAACCCAAATTTCTGAAACACAAATTAAGTGTCATCATTACTCAAAATATGGGTAGAAAAATATTTAGACATGCTTCCAGTCTGAAACAAATTCAAAGACCCTAACAAAATGTGTAACACTCAAGACCAGATTTCTTCCTTCTCCTTACAATGATTCATGTTTTTAAAACTAGAAAGAACAGCTATATGCTATAATGTGGATATTAAACACATCTCAAAGCCCATGTGCTAAGCGCTAGGGGTAAGAGAGGATGAGGAGAATCAACCCCAGGGCCTCGCTCATGGTAGCAAGGACGCCCCCCGGCACCAGCTTCAGGTTCTGGCCTTGAATCTCAGCTGCTCATTCCCGTATTATCAAGACTTCATGTTGACTGTAAACATCACCAAGAGGCACACAAGAAGGGCTCACTTCATCAAACTTTTTATTACAAAAAAGTTTATACTAAATCATTAAATACAAAAATAAACAACAAAAGCATCTGTCACTTTCCACGCCACTCAATGTGACAGCTCCTTGGGTTAAATCGGAGGATCACAAATCATCTAAAAGGCAGAGAACCAAAATGTAGAAGCAAAGGGCTGACAGTGCGCTGGAAGCTGAGGTGAAGAGCCAGCCCACTGGGCTTCCTAGCCCTACAGAGGGGCGAGAATGAGTCTCAGGCTCAGTGGAAGACTCCCACAGGAGGGTCTGAAGGGACAACTCACCCTGTCACGACGGACCTGAGGAACCTGGCTGCTCTCTCTACCACCTCCAGCCACACGGAGGATACCGAGCTCTCGTCGAAGAGGGATGCCTCGGGCAGAGCTCGCAGGGCATCCAGGGACTCTTGCAACAGCTCACTGCAGAGGTCCGCGTCCTCACCTAGGCACACCTTCAGTCAGAAGAGGCCCTCGAGCCTCCACCAGTGCTGACTGGAACAGCACCTCCTTCCTGCTGCGCCCCGACCAAGGTGACGAGATACCACCGTCACCTGTCCAAGCCCTCATTTGACACATCCAAATCTCACAAGACTGTCTCACAGTCAATTCTGCACTCAATGACACTCAAGAAGGCAAGAGAGGCTGAATATTCCTTACATGAAATGCTTGGGAACAGAAGTGCTTTTCAGATCTCAGTTGTTTTGGAGATTTTGGAATATTTGCATACATCCTGACACCTCTTAGAAATGAGACTCTAGCCTACACATGAATGTTAGTTGCTCCACACACACACATCCAGCCTGAAGAACTATATGCAAGATTTTTAGTGCACCTGCTCATCTCATGAGGTCAAGTGTGGAATTTTCCATTTACAGGTTCTTCTCAGTGCCAACAATTCAGGATTTTGGAGCATATCGGATTTTAAATTTTTAAGTTTAGTATGCTCAACCTGTACTAACACTTTATTCTTCAAGAAATAAATCAGTACTAATGCATTCCATAGTGGTGGTTACTGAGACAAGGTAGGGAAATAGGAAGGGAGAATTGCATAAACATTTTTTTCTTTTTTAAAAATACGTGTTTTTTAAATATAGTTAAATATTCTGTAGCCTCTCATTATACAAACAATAAAACTGAGACCAAGAAGGCATACATGATCACTCCTAGCACACATGGCTGTAGACTCGAACATGGGAGGTAAATCTCATGATATCTCAGTGAAGCAGAAGAAAGTCTGACACACATACCTGACCGCCAGGCCCTTCGTAAGAATGCAAAGGCAAAGGAAAGTGCTGCTCGGGATCCAACTCTAGCAAGTCCTTCCACACCTCTGCCTGTGGGCCGGGCACTGCAGATACATACACACGGGGGTAAAGAGTACAGTGGTCAGTCAGAGGGCTGCAGACATACCAAAATAAAGTAACTCTGTAGTACTTACCCGTCCTCATGTGGCTTATCATTTGTTTGTGATTTAGAAATGTTAACAAGTCATAATTTCATTTTGTATGATGTTATAAAAATTATCTTGCAAAAAATTAGAAAAGGGGCTATAATATAAAAATGCACGTGTAATATAAACTTGATCATGCACAGTAAGTTAACTTTATTTTTTAGTACGATACATAGAATTTCACACAAACATGTAGCATTTCTGCTAAAAACTCAATGATGATAATAATAACTGGGAAATATTACTAATAAGTTAATGATACAGAATGATGTCCTCAAGATACAAGGTGACACTGCATTAGAAGTGACAATGTGGGGCTCAGAGGGTTGCTGGACCTGATGGGCCACTACATGGACACCTACACTCATGGGAGGCCTGAAGAGAGAACAGGGAGCACTAGAATACTGCTGATGGCTGCCTTAAGAAGGACACGGGTAGCCAAGAAGTGGAAGTCTTTCCTTTAACAAGAAAAGTGTACTGGGTTCAACCTCCAGTACCACAATACTACTACTAATAATAATAGTAATGATGATGATGATGGTGATGATTAATACCAAGTTTAAAATTAAAAAAAAAGTGCTTCGAGTTTAAAGTATGTGGAGAACTGCTTTAGAATTATCTGTAGCACATGGAATTCCCACCCTCCCCTTTTTAGAGACGCTTGATAAAATGAAGGTAGTTTTATCATTTTGAAAGTAAACTTGATTTTCTAGAAGTCTCAGAACTAGTCAGATCGGAGCCAGGGAGATGGCTCAGTAGAATAAGAGCTTCCCTGGCAAGCACAAGGGCCTGAGTTCAGTCCCCAGTTCCACCAAAAAAAAAAAAAAAAAAAAAAAACCTAGTCAGATCAACACTATAACAAAATTTACTTTAGGTTTATTTGTGGATCATCAGTTCATTTTGTAGAAGCCCTAATTAGTCTATGAACCTTGTTAAAATAAATTCATTTTCTTTCAAGGAAACTAGTACTTTTTTTTTGTATTTTAGGGAAGTGTGGTCTACAGGGTATTCAGGGTCTCACTACTAGATCTGACGTGTAGTGATCTGCCTGTTAACAGCCTCCCAAGAACTGGGATTATAGGCATGCGCCACCATGCCCAGTCTCTACTGCTGTCTCAGTGTACCCCGGGGTCAGGGCCAGCACAGCAGGCCTGGGGATCGAACCCACCAGTACCTGCGCCTGCTTACAGGTGCTGTAATTCACTGAGTTATTTGGCCAGCCCAGAAAACTAGTATTTTTAAGAAAACCTACAGATTTAAATTCTGGTGTGTTCAGTTTCAGTGTCTGATCTGGCCTGGTTTAATACTCCTACATAACAGCACCATACCTGAGGTCCTAAAGATGGTGCCTGGGAACCATATTTGATTTCAACTTGTACTCTGCTATTTACTATATATGTGACCTTAGGCAAGTTGCTTTACATCAATGTACTATAGCTTTCTATTAAGTTTAAATACAACCTGCTTCTTTTCTCTTTCTTTTTTTTTGGGGGGGGGGGTGGGGGAGGCGGAGGGAGTCTCACCATGCAGTTCAGGGTGATCATGCCCTCACTACGTAGCCCAAGCTGGTCTCTCCAGCTCACAGCACTCCTTCTGCCTCAGCCTCCCCAAGTGCTGGGATTATAGGCATGGACCACCACACTCAACCAACAACATCATTTTTAAAAGAAAAATGTGTGTGTATGTATGTACTGTATTAAAAATTAGAACATATCGTAGGAAACACAGTCCCCAAAACAAAAAATCCACATGCTAAGTGTAAAGGAAAGAGGACCACTCCAAAATCTGCCCTTGGACAAAGCTCTCCCAGGAGCCACTCTGAGCTATGCTCACTCAGCCCTCAGCCTGCACAGTGTAAGAACCACCAGCTGTCTAGTAAGCAGCTCTTTAGTTTATAGATTCCAGAAAAAGAAAGAAAAGGCTTGGACCCACTCCCATCTACAAGTCAGTAATCTAACCCTTAGCTAGTTTCACAAAAAAATATATATAGTACACCATGATACAGTAGGCAGAGAAATGAGGAAAGGAAGATGACAGAACCTTAGAAGGTATCACTCCACATCTATCAGAATAAAAGGGACAAAACCGTTGCTGACAAGGATATGGAGAAACTGACACTCATAGACAGCTGGTGAATATGTAAAACACACAGTGACTCATGGAAACAAGTGTGGCAATTTCCTAAACCTAAATCCAAGACCCAGCAACTCTACTACTCCTGGGCATTCATCTCTCTCAGAAGAAACTTAACATGTACACAAAGACTCTGCCTGAACTGTCACAGCAGTTTCACTTGTAATATTCCAAAACTGGGGAACAAAGCTGTGGTGCATCTGTATCGTGAACTGCTACTGAGCTACGACAATAAATGCAAAAAAAAATTAGAGAAGACTCTCAAGGGAATGATACTAGGTGAAAAAAGCCAAACTCAAAAAGTTAGATATTAGTGGTCACCAGGGGTTAAGGTAGGCAGAGTAGGAAAAAGGTGAGTAGGCATACAAGATACTTTGCCAATGGAGAGAGGGCCCTACAGCCCAAAGCTGGTATGTGTAAGAACTGCTCATTCCACAGAATTACTTCTGTTTTTTGGTGCAGATAAAAGAGGGCTTTGGTTATGTACAGGGCTGCAGTTGGCTGCCCTGCACAAGTTTAGCCAGTGTTCACCATCTGACATGAGGCTTCGATATTCTAGCGGCTATTAGTCAATGCCTCAGAGAGAGTCAGCTGATGTATTACCAGATATCCACAAATTAAAAATCACATGACTGGAAGTATGTCTTATAATAAAAGAATCATATCAGGAAGGAAAAGCAAAGCATCTAAACTACTGAGGCACAAAACACCCTCTAACTGTTCCCTGAACAGTAGTGGAAGAAAACAAAAAGGATACAATGTTGAAATCCTATCTTCAAATCTAGACTTAGATATAAACTTTTGGCTACCACAACTACTGACAGAAAAATTATTGTAAATAATGACACAACCAACTGTGGTGACACATTCCTGGAAGCCCAGTTCTTGGGAAGTTGAGGCAGAAGGATCACTGTGAGTTCAAGGCCAGCCTGAACTACACTGCAAGATCGTCTCAGAAGGCCAAATAGGTAAATAAAAATAAATAAAAAATAATGGCCCAGAAGATGCAACACTGTCTGTTACTCTATGAGTAAGTTAATAAAGCCATTCTCCAGATTACACAAAGCACAGAAACAGAGAAAATTAAAATTTCATGTGGTAAAAAACAAGACAACATCGAAACCCTTAAACTTTCCTTTTAAAAAACAGCTTGAATTTTACAGTAAGCTGTCATCAGAGTCCTTTCCTTGTTTTGTTATTACCTTTTCTTGTCCATGGGAGGCTGAGAAACATGGTTGCTTTTCCACTTCACCTTGACACTCTCCTGAAACACACTTCTGTTCAAGGCAATGAAATAGCGCTCCAGGATCACCAGCCTCTGCTTGAGTCTCAGGGCCGAGAGCGTGGTGGTGGCCGACTGCATGGCCAGAGCTTGCTGCTCTTTAACCAGCACAGAGAGGCACTCCTTCAGCTCCTTCACATCTAGAAAAGTCAGTAAGAACAACAACAGCTGCCTGTCAACAGCTTGGGCACCTAATGTTGAGAAGGTAGACAATGACGACAGGAAACACCCTACTGACAAAACGTGCCAAGAACTGGCTCAAACGTTTTGTACATATTAACTCAGGCAATCTCCACACCAAGAATCGGGAGGCAGTACTTTACATCCTTTCCATGAATGAAGAAGCTTGGTCAAAAACCTTGCCCAAGGTCACAGAGGAGTGCAGTATATGACAGCGATCTCTCCGAGCCACCATGTTACTGCCTCTCTATAAATATGTAAAGATGTTCACACAAAATATGAAGGCAACCCTCAGTAGCATGTTTCCTAGACAGAAACAGAAATGTATTTTGTCATGAAACTAAACACAAAATAAAAATGGTATTTCAATAAAGTCACTCAGCATAGCCCGGTGGTGCACGCCTCTAATCGCAGTACTTGGGAGTCTAAGGCAGGAGGATTGCTGTGAGTTAGCTACCAGCCAAGGCCACCCAGTTAAGTTCAAGAACAGCCTACACTACAGAGCAAGACCCTGTCTTAAAAAAAAAAAATTCTCAGCATGCATGCTTCATAAAAGGTAATGAAGTTATGGGATATCTCAATTTTTATTTGGTTTGCATGCTGGGAATTGAACCTAGGGGCTTTGAACATGCTAAGCAAGTGCTCTACTACTAAGCCACCCCCCCCCCAAGTTACGAGATTATTTCGGAGCAGGATAAAGTAATCAAAATGTGTGACAGGACTTCCGGGAACCCCAGACCCAGTCCTAGCCCAGGTCCGGTGAGTGTGTGGAGAGCTTCCTGCTACCCTGCGCCGGCGGGACCAGTCCCAGCCCAGGCGCAGCGT